AATATCACGTGCTTTATGGACGGCCCCCATATATATATTATATTGTGGGATAAAGGTGTGTGGTGAGTAAGTAATTAAACACAAATATTTAACTTTTCAATTAACAATAAAAATAGATTTATTCAGTAAAAGTTTATTCATTCAGTCGAGGCTGGGTAAAAGCCAAACGAGAAAGAAACGTACAACTCAAAGACCCAAGCCAAACTAATTGTACAAAGATGCAGTGTTGCCAGCAAGTCTTGTGGGATTATTTAACTTGCAATTGCACACTTTGTGTACAATAAATAAATGATGGAAAGGTTCCCACAACCTTACGTGTTCAATAAACGAGAAAAATATAATTTATTATAACGACTTTATTTACTTATAAGATTTCGTTGATCAACGAATATAAGAGAGATGTGACTCGTTCAACTGTACAGTTAATAATGTCCATTCACACACACGCTTCATACATTCTACTACAACCTTTTAGGGTAAAGGGGATTTCACACAGCAATTCCCTACACACTCCCCTCCTAGAGATAGCGATATAAAAAATAATGTTACAGTTATATATAAAAAATTTTAGTCTTATATAAAAATAAAAAATAATTTTTTTAACAATCTCAAGTCAAATTAAAAATAAAAGTAAAAAATAATTTTTTTTAACAATCTCAAGTCAAATCAAAAATAAAAGCAATTATTATCGCCATGACTAGTTATTTAAGATTACAATAAAAAAAAAGAAACAAAAAAAAAAAAAAAAAAAAAAAAATTAAACATATTACTATTAATACTGACAAATTCAACATTAAAAATCTTGATTCTCATACAATAAACATTACATCAATTCTCTTTCGTTGACGTAGTAAAAGTAACTTTTTTCTTTTTATTTGTATAAGTTCTTAAAATCGGTCGATTTACAAATATATTTTCAGAACTTATAGGTTTGAGGGAGGTTGAGGTTGAGGCTGAAGGAACAGAACTTTTTTCACCTGATTCAGTCAAACCCGTAGATTCAAAATTGAGATCCTCACGAATAAAATAGGCAGGTTTTAAGTTTTCGAAAGAGACTTGCTTTTTTAAGCCATTAATCTCTATTTCAAATACTCTGTCCGAGACACGATTAGTGATTTTATGTGGTCCTGAATAAGGACATTCGAGAGATCTCTTCATTCCTATTTCCTTTTTCATAAAAACATGGAAACAAGTGTTAAGATTTTTATAAACAAAAAGTTTCCTCTTATGCCGATGTTCAACAGGAATTGGTTTTACCGCGCGCATGTTTTCACGAAACTCCTCTAAGAAAAATTGTCGATCCTGGGAAAAGTCCTCCGGTAGGATGAATTCTCCGGGTAATCTCAGTACCGTCCCGTATAAATACTCGGCCGGCGATGCCCCAGAACTTAAAACGTTATTGAGCAAACCCATCCATACAGTGGACAATGATCGCACCCAGGTCTCGTTCGAATGACACATTATTGCAGATTTTAAAACGCGATGCCAACGCTCAATCATCCCGTTAGATGCGGGATGATAGGGCGTGGTTCTAATTCTTTTACAACCAACCAATTGAAGAAGTGACGAGAAAATTTTCGATTCGAATTGAGAGCCTTGATCTGTTGTTACCGTTTCAGGAGATCCGTACCTCGAAATCCAACCGTCTATGAAAGCCTCATTAACCGTCACCGCCTCAATGTCCTTGAGTGGAATCGCCTCAGGCCAACGAGAGAATCTATCAATTAAAGTTAAACAATATCTGAAGCCTTCACACAGCGGAAGTGGACCAACGATATCCATGTGCACATGCCTAAATCGACTTTCCGGTGCAACAAAATGCGAAGGTTGCACAATGGTGTGTCTAGACACTTTCGCTCTCTGGCAGTCCAAACATTCCTTACACCAGTCTGAAATATCCTTGTGGATTTTTGGCCAAACATAACCTTTACTAATGATTTTATCTGTAACTTTAGCACTTGGGTGAGCCGGATCATGAAAAACGTGAAACAATTTTTTTCGTAAAATTTTAGGAACAAACGGACGCAGTGTCTCCCCCGAAAGATCGCAGACGATGGAAGTGTCACCCCATCGAATACACTTAAGGCTAAGAGAACTACTACCATCAGTAAGAAGAGATTTTAATTCCTCATCATTTTCGTGAGTCTTTGCCAACGAATCCAAATTGTTATCAAATGTTAAATAAACTGCATCGACACGAGACAGCGAATTCGCCACGACATTATCCTCACCTGGTATATATTCAACAGATGTTGTGAATTGCGATATAAAAGACAATTGTCCAACTTGTCTCGGCGATGCTTTGTCCAATTTTTGAGAAAATGCATAAATTAAAGGCTTATGATCTGTAACAATAACAAACTCTCTTCCCCCAAAAAAATGTCTAAAATGCTTCACAGATTCAAAAACAGCGGTAAGTTCCCTGTCGTAGGTACTATACCTCTGCTGAGTGACCGAAAAACCTCGAGAAAAGAAGGCCAAGGGCTTCCATGATTCCTCCTGCCATTGCTCTAACGCAGCACCTATTCCAGTATTTGAAGCATCCGTGACCAGACGAATTGGAGCATTGAGAGCTGGGTGGGCCAAATGTACAGCATCAGCAACAGCTCTTCTAACCCCGTTGAATGCATCCTCTGCTTCCGCAGTCCAGTTGATCCGTCGTTGATCATTCTTCTTAGAATTGTGAAGGTAAGCGTTCAAAGGTTTCTGCAGTGACGCTGCATGCGGCAGACTCCTACGGTAAAAATTCACTAACCCCAGGAAGCGACGCAGTTGCACGATCGTCTCAGGCTTAGGAAAATTCGTGATAGCTTCTGTTTTTTCAGAGGTGGGTCTTATTTCATCCTTGTCAACTATGTGGCCCAGAAATTCGAGACTCTCTACCCCCAAAGAACATTTTTCAATATTTAATCTTAATGAATATTTTGCAAGCAAGGTAAATACAGTGCGCAGATGACTCTCATGATCCTCTACACTAGTGGATGCGATGAGAATATCATCTATATACGCAAAAACAAAGTCCAAACCATCCAAAATCTTATTCAAAAATCTCTGAAATGTCTGAGAAGCATTGCGAAGGCCAAAGGTCATGACATGGAATTCAAAAAGAGCAAAAGGAGTGCGAACGGCCGTCTTCCGCACGTCTTCCGTCGCGACGGGAATCTGATTATATGCAGCATATAAATCTAATTTTGAAAAAATTTTCTTCCCATGCAACATTGATGAAAAATCCTGAACGAAAGGAATTGAGTAAGCATCAGGGATTGTGACCGCATTAAGACCTCGGTAATCTCCACAAACTCGCCATCCCCCGCCCTTCTTCGGCGCCAAGTGGAGTGGCGTTCCCCATGCTGCACTTGAAGGAAAGCAAACCCCCGCATCCATCCATTTTTTAAATTGATCTTTCGCCACTATCGATTTTTCCGGTGATAAACGACGTACTCTTTCCGAAATCGGAGGACCCCCCGTCAAAATATGGTGAAAAACCCCACTCGCCATAACGTTCGTCGACTGTTCAAGGCCCATCAAGGTAGGAAATTCTGCGAGAATCCCTGTGAAAGGGGACGATCTATCCACAACGCTGACACCCGAAAAAGAAGCTGAACCAACAACAGTATTAGTATCAAGGCCAGTTAGAGAATCGACAAGTTTTTTTCGACGTAAATCAACACTTAGTCCATAATCAGCAAGGAGATCGGCCCCTAAAATAGAATAGGGCACCGATGCTCTGCAAAAATTCCAGGTTATTGGACGCCTAAGTCGCAAATGTTGATACTTGACCTGATTTTACTGGAATTATGGAAATGTCAGATCCAGTGTCTATTAAAAATATAAAACCCGATATTCTATTTCGGATAAAGAGACGTCTGGAATTTCCCACCGTACCGATCGTCTCTATTCGGCACGCCGGTTCGCGTTTCCCGACTCAGCAAATTTTTTTGCTTCGCTACACCACGATTTACATTTATAAGCGTTGTCGCCAAATTTCCTATGGTGAAAGCATTTCTCATGTCGTTGATTATTTGTAGAGTTATTCCTCGAATTATTATTACGAGATTTAGATCTGTTTTGTTTTTGATCACGATTCTGAGAAAAAGAACGAGAACGGGATTCATTATGTGCACGAGGATGATCTGAATGGGTCGTTAAGGCATAGACTTTTGCTACCAATCTATATATCTTATCCAAAAATTCCCTATCTTGAGAAATATAAGCGACTGCTCGCTCATCGGTTTGAGCCATAATCTTATCGGCGATCACAGCCAAACGGGTCAAATCATTCAAATCTGAGAGAGTCAAAATCGATCGACACTGTGCGGGAAGTTGTTCCAAAAATACTGCCTTAATTATCTCCTCACTACAACGGCCCCTACTGAGATGACGTATTTTGCTTAGTATAAGAGATGGTTTCCCATCACTTAATATTTCGCCTTTTAAAATTTGTCGAAGTTCTGCTTCCAGGGACACGAAAAAATTTGTTATAATTCTTTCTTTAATTCAAGCGTATAAATTGGGTATGGATTGAGCGGCAGTTATTAAGTCTCCAATAGATTGGATAATTTCGTAATCAAGAGCCGCGACGACAGCACCAGCTCTTTGCCGATGGGCAGTAATTCGAGCAGCATCCAACGCCAACTTTACCTGATCAAAACAAAGAGTGGGGTCAGACCAAAAAAAGGTAGGGAGATTGGGTATTCTAACCGCATTGACTTCCATTTGATTCGCATTAAAACCGCCCCTAAAATTTCCCAAATGATTAAAATCAAAATGAAAACCGCCATTATCAGGACCCGCATTCTGCTCACCGTGGTTATCGCCCGCATTCTGCAACGGAGCACCACCGAGACCACCCGGAGCCTTCAATTCTTTAACGTCACTTTCTTCAGGCATGTTAAAAGGAATATATATATATATATCCTACCACAGCAGATGGCGAAATTCCTGAATCATATATATCTATACGAAATAAAACATCTAAAGAACTACAATTTGTAAGTACGATGGATGCTAATGTTGAACCTTGGATTTATCCATTATTTTATCCACATGGAACACAAGGATGGACTGATAATATAGCTCATGTAAAAAGACGTGGACGAGTGACAAGAAGTGAATACATGAAGTATCGTTTAGGCGTTCGAAATAACAATGTATTCTTACAAGGGGGTAGATTATTTCAACAGTGGTTAGTTGATAATTATGTCAAAATAGAGAAAGATAGAATAAATTTTTGTAGATTTAATCAAAAAACCTTACGTGCTGATACTTATCAAGGATTTGGAACACAAGGATGGACTGATAATATAGCTCATGTAAAAAGACGTGGACGAGTGACAAGAAGTGAATACATGAAGTATCGTTTAGGCGTTCGAAATAACAATATATTCTTACAAGGGGGTAGATTATTTCAACAGTGGTTAGTTGATAATTATGTCAAAATAGAGAAAGATAGAATAAATTTTTGTAGATTTAATCAAAAAACCTTACGTGCTGATACTTATCAAGGATTAATTGATCATTTACAACAAACAGCAACGGAAAGTAATACACGTGTAGGAAAAATGGTTATTTTGCCATCTACTTTTACTGGTTCTCCTAGAAATATGTTACAACATTATCAAGACGCTATGGCTATCGTTAGAAAATATGGTAAACCAGATTTGTTTATAACTATGACATGCAATCCAAACTGGATTGAGATTCAAGAAAATCTTTTACCTGGACAAATTCCTTCTGATCGTCCAGATTTAATATCACGTGTATTTAATATTAAAAAAAACGCATTAATCGATACTATTGCTAAAAAGAAATTATTTGGTGATGTAATGGCTTATGTATCTGTTGTTGAATATCAAAAACGAGGTTTACCACATATTCATATCTTAATTACATTAAAACAAAATTGTAAAATTACTACTCCTGAAGTAGTAGACAAATTTATTTTAGCTGAAATACCAGAAAATGATCCTAAATTACATGACATTGTTATTAAAAACATGCTACATGGTCCATGTGGAGATTGGTGCAAAGATGAAAAAGGCAAATGTAATAAAAATTTCCCAAAAAAATTTGAAGAAGAGACACTTATGGATGAAAATGGATACCCTACATATAAGCGACGAAATTTAGGAGATTACTTTCGTACTAATGGATGTAAAGTAAATAATCAATACGTTGTTCCCTATAATTCAACATTGTTAAAAATGTTTAATTGTCATATCAATGTAGAAGTAGTTTCTAGCATTAAATCTGTCAAATATGTGTACAAATATACAATATATAAAGGACATAATGCTGCTACAGTTGTGATTTCTGATAGAGGATCAGATGAAACATTAATAAATCATGATGAAATTAATAATTATTTAGAAACTCGGTATGTTGGTCCTGTGGAAGCATATGATAGAATTCTAGGACGATCTTTACAAGAAAAAAGTCATTCTATTATTCGATTACCTGTCCATTTACCAAATCAACAGAGTGTTATAATTAACGGCAGCGAAAGTAATGATTCCATAAGAGCTGCATTAGAAAAGCAAACTATGCTTCTTGATTACTTTCGATTGAACGAACGTGATCCAGAAGCTCGCAAATTTACGTATGCTGAAATACCTTCTCATTTTGTATACAAAAAGACAAATGAATCATCTAATTGTAATTGGCAAAAACGCAAAACACAATTTAATGTAATTGGACGCATGTATTCTGTCAGTCTAACTCAAGTTGAATTATTTCATCTTCGATTATTGTTAATATCAGTTAAAAGTGCTACAAGTTTTGAAGATCTTCTAACTGTTAATGGAATAAGACATGACAGTTTTCAAAATGCATGTTTAGCCTTGGGTCTTATTGAAGATGATGCTGAATGGAATCGTGCAATGTTAGAAGGAGAAAATTGGATGATGCCTGCACAATTAAGACGTTTATTTATTCGTATACTATTATATTGTCAACCCAATAATCCAAAAGATCTCTGGGAAATATTTAAAGATTCAATGTCAGAAGATTTTCAAAGAAATAATGATATATTAATTTCTTATAGACACACAATTTTAGAATTTAATAATATTCTTTCTAATGAAAATTTAGACATTAGTAAATTTCCGTTTTTATCTGATGTCGTAAATTATACAAATGTAAATATTGATAGTAGCAATAACTTTATCATAGAAAATCACGAAGAACTGGGTCAAAGTCAATACTTAAAATTAAATTGTCAACAAGAAAGTGTTGTTGATATGATTTTAGAAGCTGTTTTATTAAACAAACCATCGTCATACTTTTATATAGATGGTCCTGGTGGATCGGGTAAAACATTTATTTATACTACATTATATTATTTATTAAAAAGTAAGAAAAAAACTATTTGCACCACGGCATTTACGGGTATTGCAGCAATATTACTTCCTCATGGAAAGACACTTCATAAAACATTTGGAATGCCAGTACCTTTGTTTTCAGACTCTGTCTCAAATTTCAAAAGTCAATCTAAAGATGCTGAATACTTGAAGCAAGTTGATGTTTTTATCTGGGATGAAGCACCAATGGCACCCCGTTATGCTTTAGAATTAATTGATAGAACTTTGCGTGATTTTATGAACGTAGATTTACCATTTGGTGGAAAAGTAATGGTACTTGGTGGAGACTTCAGGCAACTTTTACCTGTAAAAATTCATGCTACTCGAAGTGAAATGGTGAATTTGTCAATTAAATTTAGTTCTCTTTGGAAAAATTTCTCTTTACATACACTGACTAAAAATATGCGAACTTTATCAGAAGAAACAGAATTTGCAAAATTTCTATTATCTGTTGGTGATGGAATCTTAAATGATAAAAATAATAATTTATTGCTACCAGAAAAATGTGTAGCCTCAAAATCTGATGATATTGTTCGCACAATTTTTGGTTCATTGATTGTAGAACGTAAATATGAAAATTTATCAAAAGTTGCAATTTTAGCTGCAAGAAACATTGACGTTGAAGAAATCAATTGCAGAGTTGTAGAACTTCTCGATAAAAATACGGAAAAAATTTATACTAGCGTCGATAGCGTTAAAAATTGTGACAATGGAGAAATTAATGATGGACTTTTGCCAGAATACTTAAATACATTAAATCCTCCTAACTTTCCACCATACGAATTACGATTAAGAGTCAATTGTATTGTTATGTTAGTTAGAAATTTAAGTATCAATGAAGGACTGTGTAACGGAACTAGATTACAAGTGTTAGAGCTTGCGAATAATCTTTTACGGTGTAAAATTTTAACAGGTGATAAAGCTGGTGATGTAGTATTTATACATAGAATAGACTTATATTGTGAAAATTTGTATCCGTTTACATTTAAAAGACGCCAATTTCCAATAAAATTAGCATTTGCAATGACTATTAATAAGAGTCAAGGTCAAACATTTGATATGATTGGAATCGATTTACGAAAAGATGTATTTAATCATGGACAATTATATGTTGCATTTTCAAGAGTTCGTTCTTGGGAATCTCTTAAAATTTTTCTTGGGAGTCAACGAACATCTAACATTGTTAAAAACTATGTATATAAAGAATTGTATGTTTAATAAATTAAATACTAATTGATTAATATGATTTATTACTTAAATAAGTATTAAATAAAAGAAGTAAACACGCGCGCTAGAGCGCGCGTTCGGTCTCGTTCCTGGTTTTAAAGAAAATAATAATTGTAGTTCAGAAGATGATTGAGAATTAGATTCACTCAAAGTTGCTTGGAATTCTTCATGAATCATTTGATAAGATTTAGCAAAAATATTATAATCACGTAAAGCTTGATCAATGCTATTAACAATATCTGGATTTAGCAAATTACTTTGATCACATCGTAATTGTGTAGCTTCGTTTTGATCTACAATAAATAACTGCCCAAAGAAAGGATTATCATTATCAGAAGGGTACAGTGAAGTATTGATTTGATAATAAATTTGACCATGGATTTTAAAACAAAAAGGACCAGGTCTTCTATTGTTAAAATTAACTAAATTTGCATTAAAAGATGCGAAAGCAAAAGAATTATTATAGGAACGTATACGATCATGAAAATGTTTCGATTCTTTGTGAGTGCCATCAAATAATTCTTTCAAAATAGTTGGAGGATCAGGTAAAGGGTCTAAAACTACTTCACCGTGACTGCAACAATTGCTGAAAGAATTTTTTTTATTAAACACTTTTTCTGCAGGGAAATGTTTTGCTTCACAATGTTGACATAAAATATTTAAAGGACCAATATAATGTTCTTTGACATCTACATAATCATTAATACATTGATTTATATTATTTCTAGTACACTGGTTTTCATAAGTAGAATTACTAATATTCAATACTTCACTTTCTGAATTTTGTACAATAGAAACATTAATATTTTCTGAAGTGTCAATTTCAGAATTACTAATATTCAATACTTCATTTTCTAAATTTTGTACAATAGGAACATTAATATTTTCTGAAGTGTCAACATCAACCGTGAATGTTTCTATTGTTTCTGAAAAATTAACCGATTTTTTAGGACACTGACAATTTTTCATTCTTTCGCGATAAGCTCGTTGTCGAACAGTATCTTTTTTACGTTTTAGTTTCTTGTATTCTTCTTCAGCTTCTTTTGATCTTTGTTTATCTCTTTGATCTGAATCAGTATTGAAAGGTTTATTTTCAGACATAACATCGCTTATATTCAAATTATCAGCCATTACATTGCTCTCAATAGAAACGTCAGTATTTTTTATATTACTTTTAGAGCATGAAGTAGATAAAATTGTAGTTTCTTTATTTGACAATAATTCTTTTGTTTCTAATGTCGTTTCTGCACCATCCAACAATTTTTTTGTTGAAGATAGTTTTCTTTTTGTTTTATCACGATAAGATCTTTGCCGAGCAGCATCCTTTTTACGTTTTTTTTCTTTAAACTCACCTTCTTCTTCCTTTAATCGTTTTAATCTCCTTTTTGGCAAATTAAAGTTAGAAAAATTATTTATTTCACAGCGAGAAGTAGACTGAATTGCAATTTCTTCATTTGACAATAATTTCGTTATTTGTAATGTAGTTTCACCACCCTCTAACGATTTTTTTGTTACAGATTGTTTTCTTTTTATTTTTTCGCGATAAGCTCTTTGTCGAGCAGCATCCTTTTTACGTTTTTGTTCTTCAAATTCATCTTCTTCTTTTGATGGCCCTGCTTTATCCTGTGTCAAGTTAATAGCAGAAAATTTATTTATTTCACAGTGAGAAGTAGACTGAATTTGAGTTTCTTCATTTGCCAATAATTCTGTTGTTTGTAATTTAGTTTCAGTATCCTCTAACAATTTTTTTGTTACAGATTGTTTTCTTTTTATTTTTTCGCGATAAGCTCTTTGTCGAGCAGCATCCTTTTTACGTTTTTGTTCTTTAAATTCATCTTCTTCTTTTGATGGCCCTGCTTTATCCTGTGTCAAGTTAATAGCAGAAAATTTATTTATTTCACAGTGAGAAGTAGACTGAATTTGAGTTTCTTCATTTGCCAATAATTCTGTTGTTTGTAATTTAGTTTCAGTATCCTCTAACAATTTTTTTGTTACAGATTGTTTTCTTTTTATTTTTTCGCGATAAGCTCTTTGTCGAGCAGCATCCTTTTTACGTTTTTGTTCTTTAAACTCTTCTTCTTTTTTTGTTGGTTCTACTTTCCCCTGAGTCAAATTAATCCCAGAAAATTTATTTGCAGAAATGAAATCGTCTATGTTTAAACAATCACTTTGTTTTGGATTTTTTTCGCATTGTGATGTAGATTGAATTGAATGATTTTCATCTTGCAATAATTCTTGTGTTTCACAATTCGTGTTGGAAATCTCTGACTGCTGCTTTATTAACAACTGATTATTTTTTATTTTCAATCGATACAATCGTTGTCGTTCAGCATCTTTTGTACGTTTATTTTTCTTAATTGCGCTCTTTTTTTGACGATAACTTCGCTGTCGAGTCGCATCCATTTCATTTTTTCTTCTTTTAAATACCTCTTCATCTGGTTCTAAACAATCTGCTTTTCGTTTTGACATGTTTAATTATTACTAATAATATAGTCTAATTTTAATAAAATAATAATTAATATAAAAATTGTTGATTAAATATGAGATTTGGTATCTGATGAAATGTATAATTAGGTATCTGATGAAATTGATGATTTGAATATGAACGAATGTATTAATGCGAATCCAATAATTTTGATTTGAAATATTCCATAAAATTTTTAACATATTTCAACTCATCAACTGTTTTAAAGTAAATTATTTATGTAAATTATTTAAAAAAAATTTTAACACTAATTTTGAAAATTTTTGAAAAATTTAAAAATTATTAATTTTTTTCACAAGAAACTTAAAAATATCTAAATTGGACAATTTTTATCATATTTCAACTGATCAACTGATAAAGTAAATTATTTAAGCAAATTATTTAAAAAAATTTTTTAACACCAACTATATATATGACATAAGTGACACGTGACATATGTGACACGTGACACGTGACATGTGACATTGTGACATGTGACATGTAACATTGTGACAGAACATTTGTAACATTTGTGACATATGCGACATGTGACATGTGACATGTGTGACATGTGACATGTGACATGTCCTTTTTTAAATAGGATCTCCCAAAACTAAAGAAATCTATCAAAAAATCCTTCAACTTCTTAATGCAAATAAAATATCAAGAATTCTGTTCCCTCAAACCAGTCACAGTCAAATACACGACACACACTGATTCTAAACAAATAATAAATTTTCGACGATTCTGAAAAGAATAGATTGATTCCACCAGACAAAACGCAATAAAATCACAAATAAACATATGAATATTACATTGTTAATAAACATTGGCGTTGTCAAAGTTATACGCATATTGAAATGTCATTATAAATTTAGAAAAATTTCAATAGTTTAATTATTTTTAATTTCAATTCGTTTATCAAGTTATCAAATTTATTATTTTTAAGAAAAGAAAAACTCTAATAATAATTTTTCAAAAAAAAATAAGAGCATACGCATAAGCATATTTTTAATAGTTAAATTCAAATTTCAACAAAAAATCTTGAAAAATATTCAAAGACACGCGCGTAAACTCATTATTTCAATTCACTTTATATTTCTACTATTTTCTAAAAGTGAAATTATATATGTTCAGAATAAATTTTCTGTGTCGAAATACTATAAAAATTAAAAACTTACGAAAACAACCATTTTAAAATCAAAACATAAACGATGAATAAGCTGAAGGCGACGAAGTTCTCGAGATTGTCGATGTAACAAGCGAAGTAGATCGTGCAGTCCATGAGTTGCGTTCTAACCTTAAAATGTTTTCAGGAATTTCTCTCTCAGCAAAAGATCGTCATCTGAGATCGGCGGCACCGCTCTCGATCGAAGTTTCCCGGGAATCGGTCACCAGAAAGTATGAAAAAGAAATAACCCTCAGACGATGGCTAAAGCTTGGAAACTGTTAAAATGCAAAAAGGCATGGAAAAAAATCATACCTCGTGCATGGGCTCAGAATAGTCTGCCCATGCGCTGTTTCCAAAAAGCGTAAATAAAACAATCTACAGGAACTGCTCAAAACATCAAAAATTGATCTGCATTCGTTCCCTCGGTCGCCAAATCGCCGGACGTAAAGTCGAAATTCGGCACCTGTCGTTACAGCAATTATCTGCTTATTGATCGCTGACACAAAGGACAAAACTTCACAGGTAGCTATCTGCTTCCCTCAGGAATCCTTGGAAAAGCACAGAGTCGGTGTTTCCATTAAAAATTTGTCGATGCCGGTCTTGGCAATATGGCGTCGTTGTATGAATCTCTCATGTAAATTTTTGGAGTCAGTTTGTGAATTAAATTTTTGTTGCACATGAGAAATAAAGGTTTTCTCAGATGTAAAAATTTGTTTTCTCCTAGAATGTTATGTAGATCTTTTCGGATTGTCTTATGATTTTCAGAAAAGTCTAGAATAAATTTTCGATACACAACATGTGCTCGTCGAGTGGTCACTAATGTGGGATTATTTAACTTGCAATTGCACACTTTGTACAATAAATAAATGATGGAAAGGTTCCCACAACCTTACGTGTGCAATAAACGAGAAAAATATAATTTATTATAACGACTTTATTCACTTATAAGATTTCGTTGATCAACGAATATAAGAGAGATGTGACTCGTTCAACTGTACAGTTAATAATGTCCATTCACACACACGCTTCATACATTCTACTACAACCTTTTAGGGTAAAGGGGATTTCACACAGCAATTCCCCACAGTCTCGAGCGTTCGGCGCCATCTGTCGAAAAAAAAATCGCCAAAAAGCGGCAAATTTAAGAAACTGTATATCTGTCTCTCTTACTTCAATGTAAATTTTCCGTTCTGGACAATTTTTACAGAAGGTGTAAAGGAGCATTCAGACCTCTGCAGGCTGCCTGCCTGCGCAGACAGAAGATCGTTCACACCTCACTTTTCGGAGTTCCTCGCGAGCGGTGATACCGAGCGCATCGTGTGTTACATTCGTATTGAAAGTTTACGCTATTTGTGCATATTGCCGTCTTTTGTAAATCGTGATTTTACTACCTAAGCGTAGTCGAATTTATGTAGTGTAGTGTGGAGAAAGCTTTCAGGTTTTCGTGCTGCTTAGCAAGACCAAGTCAGCGTTTCTCTACCACGTGGACAGCGTGTCAACCGGCCGGCCATTTTGAATTTGAGTAGTTTCTATTAAAGCTCTGTCTTGGCATAAAAGTATATTAACCGGAGGGTTTTCCTCCGGTTCTTCAAACATGATAGACGGCTCTGGGGATGACTATGGTCCTCCCCACTCCCCTCAAACACAAATGGATATCGAAAACGCCGCAAACAATTTAGTTCTTTTAAAGAGTTTAAACGAAAATCATGCCAATTTATCGAATCTCACCGCGAAAAAACACTGCAAGAATGATTCGCATATTATAAAACCATCTCAAACTCACGACTCTGACACATCAAATGGAAATCCTTCACCAACTCAACGCACAAAACAAACAAACTCAGACACATCCGACAAAACTAACACAAACACTAATCTGACACTCAGCTATGATAATTCTTTAAAAAGCAACTGCGCAATTTTTCCCTACAAGTTTCGTTTCTTGTAAGGGAATTATGAACGATGTCGACACGGATATTACAGTTGAGGAAATTATTGAGTATGGTGAGGTTATGGGCCCACACGTAAATAAAATCAAAATGATCCAAGCGCGGTGTTTTAATCGCAAAGTTTACGACGAAAAAACCAAAGAGTTTAAGTTCGTTCCGTCGAAAACCGTCCTACTGACCTTTCAGGGTACAGTCCTCCCTCAAAGAGTAGCGGTCTACAAAGGGTCAAGTCCTATTCGTCCTTACTTTCCGAATCCTCGTATATGTATGAAATGCTTTAGGTTTGGCCACATCGCCAAAAACTGTCGCTCTCAACCACGATGCAAGTCCTGCGGGGAAAACACTACCCATGACATATCAAACCCTTGTCCAAACACTTCAAACACACCAAAATGTGTAAACTGCTCTGGTCCTCATCTAGCTACATTCAAGGATTGTCCGGAATTCACCTTTCAAAAGGAAATCCGTACTTACGCTACTATACACAGACTCTCCTTCATTGAAGCAAAAGCTATCCTTCGACCTAGAAACACAGGTGCAACCCCGAACTCTTTTAATTTCTCAAATTTTCCACAGCTTGGAGAAATCCCAGCTCCTTCTTTGACAAATCAAAACTCTTCTCAACTTTTTTCAGACATCACAAACCTCTCATCTCAAAAACGGAGAAGTCCCATGATTGGACCTGCCACCCAAAAAATTGGCACGCCCCAGTCACGGAAAAGAACTAACTCCTTCTACGCAACACAATGGAACAATGGTAGAGACGGTAGCGATCTTCCTAATGGTTTTACCCTCTCTGCTTCTCGTTCCATGTCTAATCCTTCAACATCTATTGATCAAACTTCCAACCATGAATCCTTCCCTTCAATCCTAATCTCCATGATCAAAGATCATGTCACACAACTTTCATCCAGTTCTTCACCAGAAAAAACTAAACACAACGAAAGTCTACTTAATACTATTATAGAAAGCATTCCCTTATTGTTCAACTCCGTAAACAACAACATTAATGGATCAATTGTCTAAAATAAATATCCTGCAATGGAATTGCCGAGGTGTCTCTAAAAAGGCACCCGAAATTCAAAGTCTCTCTAATAAATTCGACGTCCTCCTTCTTTCCGAAACCTTTTTAAAACCCGATAAAAAACATAATTTAAAAATTTTAAAACAATTTAATATTATTAGAAGCGACAGAATAGTAAATAAGGATGGTGGTCTCATTATCGCCATTCGCAAAAACTTGATATTTTCAAAAATTTCAACAATTTTTACTCAGGAAGACGAACTTGAAACACTCGCTGTCTCAATTGACTCTTCTTTGGGTGAATTATTAATAGTTTCTGTTTATAGAGTCCCTGGTAGACAAACCCCCCTTAATTATTGGAAACGTTTCTTTAATTCAATCAAAAATTCTGGATTCAACTCCCTTTTATCGGAGGTGATTTTAATTGTCATAGCACTCTTTGGGGAGGCTCTTATGTCTGTCCCAATGCGCGCAACTTATGTGAAGAACTGGATGAGATGGACCTCATCCTCTTAAATGATGGCTCACCTACCATGGTAGGTCGGCCACCTAATCCCGGTTCTGCATTGGATCTTACTCTCGTCTCTTCAAACCTTTTCACATCCTCATCTTGGAATGTCCTTGACGATCCGTTGGGTAGTGATCATCTTCCTATTCTTTCGTCATTGGGCATTTCAATACCAATGGCATCTTTTTCCTCTCACAAATATAATTTAAGAAAAATAAATTGGACCCTATTCTCCACCACACTGCGTTCATCCGTGGAGTCAAATTCTGATATTTTATACACTGATAATCCTATCTCTGATTATAATAATTTTGTAGAACTCGTTGACATGTCAATTAAAACAGCATGTCCTCAACGGAAAAACGCTCCCGCGAATAAGAATGCTGACTCTTCCAGAAAACCTTTTGTTCCTGCACCTTGGTGGGACAATAAATGCGATGAAGCCATTAATAATAGAAAAGTAGCTTTTAAAAATTATAAAAAGTTAGCTAATTTTCTTAATTCTCAAATTTTCTTAATTATAAAAAAGCGGAAGCCATAGCTAAGCGCACGCTTAGTGAGGCTAGACGTCAATCTTTTAAAAACTTCTGCGATTCCCTGGACAGACATACTCCTTTAACAAAAATATGGGCCATAATAAAGTCTTTTAAAAACCGATTTACTCAACCTGCAACAGCTTCATGCTCAGCAGATAGAGAAACGATAGATAAACTTCACTCCCTTGTGGATGATCTCTATCCCCCTACGGTATTCCACGACAATTTTCTCAATAATTTCGATAATAACCCATTTCTTGAATCACCCTTTTCTTTATCATAACTCTTAATAGTAATTAAATCTTGTAAAACTAAATCCTCCTCAGGCCTTGACAAAATTGATTTTAATATTATTCAAAATTTTCCAGAAGAGTCCTCATCACCCCTCTTATAAATCTTTAATAGAATCATTTCCAGCGGAACTTTTTCTCCTTCTTAGAACAATTTTCTTATCTTTTTCCTTCCAAAATCCTCATCCCCACCTGGTAAATTTCGACCTATTTCTTTAGCCTCTTGTCTCTTTAAAGTCGCAGAAAAACTTATTTATAATAGACTCACTTGGCTTATAGAACGCGATAAAATCCTTAGTCCTTACCAATTCGGTTTTCGGAAGGGCAAATCTTGTACGGATAATCTTGCCTTAATCTCGACAGAAATTTGGTCAGGCTTAGCTCAACGTGAATTTGTTGGTGCTCTCTTTTTAGACATAAAGGGTGCTTTCCCTAGCGTAGTTCCAAATGTTTTAGTAAAAGATCTTAAATCAATTGGCATTCCGGAATCAATATCTCGCTTTATATACAATTCAATAAAATGTAAAAACATATATGTCAAGATTAATGGCGTGGTTATTGGTCCAAGAACTAGCACTGTTGGCCTTCCACAAGGTAGCATTCTTAGTCCAATTAATTTCGCAATATACACTAGGAATCTGAATACTATTATTCCCGCGGATTGTGAAATTTACGAGTTTGCTGATGACTTATCAGTTTCATGTCGTTCCCCAAATTTAAATCAAGTAATTAACTCCCTTCAAAATAGCCTTAACTCCCTTTCGGATCACTTGTCTGAGAGAGGTCTGGAAGTTTGTCCAGTCAAAACCAAATTTGTTATCTTTAGTAATAAAAAACTTGATCTAAATGATCCAACCCTTACATTATCTTTAAATAATCATATTATTAAACCATGTCCTTCAGTTAAATATCTCGGCATACAATTTCATCAATCTTCCTCCTCTGATACTCATTTTAACTATTTGTGTGATAAAAGTAGAAAGATTTTAAATGTACTAAAGGTACTTCGAGGTACTTGGTGGGGAGCAGATCCTCAACTTTTACTTTGCATTTTTGACTCACTAATTAGAAGCCCTATTGATTATGGTTCACAAGGCTCTAACTTTAAGTCTCATAAAAATTTTTCGCGTTTAGAAAAGATTCGTAACCAAGCTCTGCGACTAGCCATAGGCTACAGACAGAGCACCCCAATTAACGTAATGCTTGCAGAATGTTGTGAACCCCCTTTAAGAAGTAGATTTAATTACCTTGCTAAAACATATCTCTACAGAGTTTATTCAAATTCTACTCATCCTCTTCCAGCTAAGCTTGCAGAACTCTCTCGACTCACTATTGACTCTAATACCAAATTTAATTATCCTCTTTTAATTGCCTTTGAAAAATCGAAAACCTACAGCGAATTTATCAGAAGCAAGGACCTTGACCCTTACTTCGAATTCCTTTTTGAGGATCATTTATTTACTCCCCAAATTATTCATAATTGGGGCAAATCACTTCAAAACTCTCCTAAACCTTCAATATTATTTAAGGATCTATCCAACATTAACTTTCCAAATCACACTTTCTTTTTTAATGATGGTTCCAAATCAGAAAAGGAACACTTGGCTGGATGCGCCTTTGTTTGTCCTTCTTTAAATTTAACATCTAAATTCAAATTTCAAAACATGCTTCAATTTTTTCTCTTGAAGCCTTTGCAATTTTATTTACTTTAGATTACATTATAAATTCTAATCTTTCTAATACGGTCATTTTCTCAGATTCTCTTAGTGTTCTTAAAAACCTAGCTTCTAAAAACATCTACAAAATTAAATCTTATATAATTTTTGCTATCAGAAACCGCTTAAAAATCCTTTTTAATTTAAATCGTCCATCTACCCTCGTTTGGATCCCTGGTCACTCAGGTATTGATGAAAACGAGAAAGTGGACAGGGCAGCGAAAGACACATCCACCAATCCTCAACAACTAAACATACCTCTATCTTATTCTGACTTGCTCGAAAACAGCTATCTGATAGCTGCAACTCATAGGGTGGAGTCCCATGACAGCGTTTTGCGTTGCGTCGTAATGGGAGAGAAAAAGATGCAAATATACGTTTGTTGCATTCTCTCTCATTACAACGCAACGCAAAACGCTGCCATGGGACTGCGGCCATACTTTCTGGATGTAGGCAAAAATAAAGGTGCTAAATACACACAATGTTTTTACCAACCCAGAAGAAAACCATGGTTTGCGAACTTCGTGGCTCGCAGACTCTGGATCACTTCTATATGTCGTGCAAGAAGTAATCACTATAACTTTGGTGCTAGTCTCGCTAGAAAAAATTATATTCAGTCTAGGGATTGTCCACACTGTCCAAATATTGATGAAGATCTCGATCACATTCTTTGGTCTTGTCCCAGATTCGACACATTTCGGCCAGACTTAATTAAAGCCCTTTCAAGAGCTTTAAAGTGTCCCCCTCAATTTTGCAGTGTACAATATCTCTCTAACCCTAATCCAAGAGTCGTCTCTCATGTTTTTAGATTCTTAAAACGCGCTAATATTAAAATATAATCTTTTACTTTCTTCCTTTAATCTCATGCTTTTATATTTTATAATTTAAACATATTTATCTACTCGAATTACATTGGTTCACGGGAACGTAGAAGGAGTGCTACTATTTGCTTTCCAGCTGTGTTGCCGTGCACACCGTGGTCGGTCGGCGTTCGCGCTGCCAAACTTTACTCTACCCTGCCAGATTTGGATTTACTTTATGTCCACTTTTAAAGTGGACATAAAGTAGACATAAGGTAGACATAAGGTAATCGTTGAAAAAAACTATTTACACGGAAAAAAAAGTACGTGAATCCTTCCTTGAAAGTGCTTGACTTTTGGATAGGACACAAAATACAAGGCTGTATCATATACTTTTTATTAGAAAATATAGAAAAGTCCTAGAGTTATTCTAGTACTAGTATGGGCAACAGTGTTTTTTAAATTTTAACGAAAAGTCATTTGTTCAGTTTTATAAAGTACGTAAAAGATTAGTTGACTGCGCTTGAAAATTCTGTAGAGCATGCGCAGTGTGCGTTGCGCGTTTCTACCCAAGGTAAATGCCAGCTGATCATCTGTTTCCATTTGTGTTAATTTCAGATGTGAATATACTATTATTTTATGAAAAACAAATAGTGTTAATATATATTTGTCTTCAAGAATTGACTTTCAAAAAAATATTTTTTATTTTGTGTTTCTCACAAAACAGAATGTTATGTAAGTCTCAGTTTTCAGTGAAATAGCATGTCTCAGAAGTCGTGAAAAATTTCAGCATGTGGTATATAAGAACAATTCGATACGTACTTTTAAGTGTTAAGTGTGTGTTTATATTTAAGTTATACGCGAATATATGTGTGTGTTATAGGTTAGTTCATAAGTGTTGACGAACGTCGAAAAGTGATACAATAATTGTTCTTTGTTTGTGTGATTAATTATCCAAATATGTGAATGACTGAGTGAATTTCAGAAAAACTGTGAACAAGTGGAAATTATTTTTTTTATTTTACAATTTTTTTTAAAGTCAATGAAATTCTCAAGCAAGGTACTAGAAATTTTCATTGACTGCTTTTGAAACTCTCATGCAAAAGTACTAGACTGTTTTTAGTATTTTGTGTCGTATCCAAAAGTCAAGTAC